CCACCAGAAGGGGGCCTGGTTCAGATCGACAGGAGGGATTCTGACCCTCAATAGACCCACCATGTTTCCTCCTAACTCTGCATGAAACTGATCCAGATGTGAGTTCATCTCAACATCAAACAGTGGGCTCATGATGTAACCACAGCTAAAGTTCAGCTAAAGTCAAAGCTAAAGTTCAGTTGTCATCATCAATCTGTTCTGATCAGATTAACCTGATAACTTAATCCTCTCTGTCAGGCTTACCTGAGCTGTTCTTTCGGCTGGTTCTGGTCGACCCGGGTCTCTGCAGCGGGACGTTCTGCCTCCATGAACCCTGAGCGCTGCTGGGTGACGTCTTCACCAACACTTGATTGACAGCTGTCTTTGTCGTGACGTGGGTGGAGCCTGTCGGAGACTTCAGACCTGCAGAACCAAGACAGAAAACGTCAAACAGAAACCCAGAACCTGACCCAGAACCTGACCCAGAGAGACCTGGTTATCAGGAGATAATCTCAGATCATTTCTTTACATCTGGATTGTCACAGCAACATCTGCAGATCTCCTGGATCAGGTTCTGGTTCTGTTTTTTTTTCTCTGGACTAAGGTTCTGGTTCCTCCAACACACCTGCAGCTGATGTCCTGGTCTGCAGAGACAGAGTTCTGCTCCTCGCAGCAGGAGGCCTCGGACCAGAACTGGGAGAACTGGTGCTGCTGGGGGACGGGGGTCCACAGCTGGGGGTCTCTATGGCCCACTGGCTGCCTGCACGACGTGTGTCTCTGCTGAGACCCTCATCAGGTCTCAGGTCTGCTGGAGCCACATGAGAGACTGTCAAGTTCTGAACAAGATTCAGCATCAGTTAGAGGTTCTGTTCAGGACCACTCTCAGCTACTACCATGCTAAAAGGGTGTTAGACCCAGTCTAGACCTGCAGGGTCCAGAAAGGATGTTAGACCCAGTCTAGACCTGCAGGGTCCAGAAAGGATGTTAGACCCAGTCTAGACCTGCAGGGTCCGGACAGGGTGTTACACCCAGTCTAGACC